TTATTATTATTATTATTATTATTATTATTATTATTATTATTATTATTATTATTATTATTATTATTATTATTATTGCAGCTGCCACCCTTGTTATGGCGTAAAAGTCCTGCGATTTCTTCTGAATTGAGAATTTAATGAATTTTAGTTAAACCAAAAAACAACTCTAATACCTACCTGCATTATTATTACTGTTGCTATTATTTTTGTATGAAGGTTCTGGGCTTTCGCCTGATTAAAAATTAATAAAATTCCTATTAAAAAAAAAAAAAAAAAAAAAAAAAAAAGAGAGAGAACTTATCCGTGTAATTATCACTACTATCATTATTATTTTGGTGTGAAGGTTCTGGGCTTTTGCCTGAATTGAGAATTTAAATTAATAAATTCCTATTAAAAACAAAGAACAATAGTCAAAAAAACCTACCCGCATTATTATAATTACTCTTGCCACCATTATTTTGGTATGAAGGTTCTGGCCTGAATTGAGAACTTAAGTTAGTAAAATTTAAGATTAAAAAACAATTGCAGCTAAGAGAACCTATCTGTATTATTTTGGTATGAAGGTTCTGGGCTTTTGCCTAAATTGAGAATTTAAATTAATCAAATTCCTATTAAAACAAAAAAGAAAATAAAGTAAAGATAACCTACCCGCATTATTATCATTGCTCCTGCTGCCATTGTTTTGGTGTGAAGGTTCTGGGCTTTCACCTAAATTGAGAATCTAAATCAATACAATTTATATTTAAAAAAACTATAGATAGGAAACTTACTTCTGCTATCAACATTGTACTAATGTGAAGGTTTCGGGCTTTTGCCTGAGTTGAGAGTATAGTAAATTATAATATTTAAAAACAAAGGACAATTATAATGTATTGTTTTACCTATACCACTATTGCTACCATCGTTATAGTACTGCTCTCCTGGACTTTTATCTAAATTGAAATTTTAAAATCAATAAAAATATAAAACTATTTTAAAAAAAAAAGGATTAATTACCTGAGTCATCATCATTATTGCCACCATCATTGTGGTAATATGAATATTCCGGGTTTTCTGCTGAAATTGAAAATCTTAAAAGAAAAAACAAATAAAAAATTAATAATAAGTGTATACTTACCCATATTACCATTGTTACTATCATTTAACTCTTGATAAAATCAATCAAAAAAGGTTAATATAAGTTAAAATTCTATATATTATAAACTACAAAGGTATACCTTCCATATCATCATCAAGATTGATGATAGAGTCAGCTTGAATATCAATAGTACTTAGGATTTCTTCCTCATCAATAATGTCTTTTTCAAATAACTCATTAATTACTGTGCAGTTACTACGGGGAGTATCACCATAAACAAGTTCAAAGGGTGTCTTTTTATATGACCTACATTATGAACTGTTCATAGCCATAATTACAAATCTTAAACCAAATGACCAGTCATTGTGACCAGTATCCTCCTTCCATTTTCCAAGCTTTTGCTCCAATATTCCGTTTGCATGTTCTACGAGTCCTTGAGATTGTGGATGCCTAGGGCGTCCATTGATAATTTTGATTGATGGCCATAATCTGACTAGTTCTTTGATTACTTCTGCACAAAATTCTTTTTCATTGTCAGATTGTAGTATCATAGGAGAAGATTCTATCAAATGGAATAAATCAAATAGATATGCAGCGACCTCAATCGCTCTTTTTGATGTGAGTGCTTTTGCTTATGAAAAACAGGTAAAGTGATCGTGCATGTGAAGAATATATTTAAATTCACCATCCAGATCATAAGTCATATCTATTAGATCCATCTAATTATAATGGATAAAAAATTATTAATATAAAGTATTAATGAAAAAGAAATTTATAAATTGCAGAATTACCTGAAAGCGAAATAAAAAATTACTCGCAATTATTGGTTTTGCGGCTAGGAGTGTGAAAGGATGGTTTCCTAATGGCGCAGATTGCGCAATTATTGTCAAATTTTTTGATTATATTCTGCTTTATCCAACCCCACCTTTCTCGCACTGCTCTCCACATTTGTTTTTGGCCTCCATGCTGCGTAATTTGCCCATGGGTTTGACATAACACCTCATACATCCTTTCAGTAACCAATACCGGATTTTTTGTGGCTTTTACTAAGACTCTATAGTCTCCGGAAATCACCTCTTCAAGTCAAAACTGCTTCTTAGCCCAGATCTGGGTATTCTTGTCATATAATGATTGATTTTGAGGGTCCAATAAAATATCTTTTATTTTATTCAATAGTTCATAGTTTATTAATGCTTTTTCACATTTTGATACTGGAAGGCTAGTTACATAGTCCTCAAGAATCTGATCAAGAGTGCCTTAAGTTATAAAACTACAGTCCATTTTGAAACGTCAAAGACGAAAAGTATGTAATGCGTCAAAAAAGACAAAAAGGTTATATTACATCAAAAAAGACAAAAAGGTTATAATTTAAAAAAAAAAAGCCAAAGGCTTTTTAGACTCTACTTTGACATAATTATAAACTATATCTTTACAATTAAAAAGTTAGTTTCTTGATAGTGATGGTGATTATCTTGCCTCAAATGATAATAGAGGCACCTCAGATAACTGATCAACAGATTACATAACTCACCTGACGATCAACATCTGAGGTGCCTCAGTCATCACCTGAGGCGAGAAGCGATCTGAGGCACAACATATATATTCATTTTTAAAAATAATATAGCCTCCAAAAGTTTTACTACTATAAATAGAAGGTTTGAACTGTAAATTACCAAATTTTGGTAAAATTTAGCCATGGCTTTGAGAATTTTTACTAGTAACATATTTTACTTTATGCATAAATCCTGTTGTACTACAGATATCATATGATAAATAATCGACCTATACTCTACCTTTAAATATTTAAAATTATAAATTCTAATACCTTTGCTTATAGAAAATATATAGAGCTTTTCATATTTAACTTTGTAAATTATTTTCTTCTCACAAGGATCCAGGCTTATTTCATGTATATTATCTATCTTACTAGATATTTTGCTTGCAAAATCAAGATCTTCTTTAGATCCGAGCTTTTGAAAGCAAAATCATCTTTGACTATTATCAGTATATACTACTTCAATTTCATTTGGTATAAATGAATGCTTTTAACATAATTGTTGATATTAAATAATCTTGCCAACTAGAAGGAGTATATTAAGTAATTAGTAATGAATTTTCAAAAATAAAATTAAATAAATAAAAAATTAATAAAATTAATATTATAAAAAAATTAAATAGAAATAAATTACAGAACATGAAACTCAAGTTTTGTAAAATAATAATAAAAAATATATATATATAAATAGAATTAAATTAAATTAAACAAAACTCGACATCCACACAACTCTCCCCAATGATCACTCGTACTAAACTTATAGCAAATAAAAACAGAGACTTATTGAAGAAAAGTAGAAAAGACAACTATAAATAATGGTTTTTACAGAGGTCAAGGTTTTTGTTTCTATTTTCTCAGACTCCTCTGTATATTCAGCACGCAAGTTAAAAGCGTTCCTGTATAAAATAACTGGCGAGAAGGTGGTGCTCTTGTATAGAAAATTTTAATAAAACTCTGCTTCTGCTGATGAAGTTAATGATAGTTGGTCTGAGGGGAACAACAAGTGAGTGTTCAACACACTCTTTACCAAAGTTTAAGGATACCTGCAAACTGAAACCCTACACCAAACTCCACTCTTTGTGCTTTTTGAAATTTTTACCAAAAAGTAGCAAAAAATGACATACGCACATTGATTGATCGACAACAACAATCACTGCCAAAAAAGAAAAGTCATATACAGGAGTACGTGTCTACTTTTGGATAATAGCATTGCATCAGTTATCTCAAGAGGTTACAGTATTTGCACTGAGATCTACAGAAGCTGAAAAAGCATAGGTTGCTTAACTTTGTCCAGGTACAAGCACTAGCACGAGAATTAGTTGCAGGATACCGCACCGAACTCAGTAAGATCCAAGAGAAATTTTGGACTTGGCCTCTACTCAAGAATAGATATTTTATATATTTTAATATAGATAATAAATAACTAGCATAGAGTTTAGACTAGATTATTTAGTAGTCTATATAATTTTAACAATCTGACGTGGGTTTAATAGTGCTATCTTTGTTTTCTTTTCTTTTATTTTATTTTTCTTTTATATGTTTTTTGGTTTTATTTGTTTAAGTGAATCGAATCTGGATGCCGAGATATCACTTCTTTTTTCTTTGCCCTTTGTTTTGTGTCTATATTTCATAGAAAGGATGATACTAATAGGCATGTAGCACCGGCCAATGATTGAAGGATTCATGCCTTTAGGAAGTTAAAGGCCCAGAGGGAAGCAAGCAGCCACTAGACAATATCACACCTGGGCTTTAAGCCGAGTAAGTCACTTGTTGCGGTTAAAGAAGGATTAGCTATAGTTAAATTCTTATAATTTTGCTTAGTTATCATCTTAATAAAACAGTAGCAGAACATGCGAAAAAAAAAAAAAAAACAAACTCGAGATTCAAGTTTTGCTAAAAATTAAAGAAGAGATACAAAAGTATTAGAAGACTAAGACCTACCAAAGAATCAAAAAAGAAGCTCAAGAAAGAAATAAAATTAAAAAAAAATTGAGTTGCTACTAGTGATCATTATCAATGTAATACAAATTAATAAATAATACAAATAACAATATATATCGGTATAGTAAATCTATATATAATACTATACAAACTATAAATTGCAATAATCATTTCAGTATATCAATAATGCTAATATGTATCTACCCTTACATTAAACTATATAATACATCATTAATTTTCTTTATTAACTAAATCAGCTTTATATTGAGTACATCTACAAATATTATGCCCTTTATCTAAACAATAGCTACATATTCTCTGTTCACGATTAGGTTTTTGCTTAGAATTTTCTTCAACAAATGAATTTAATCACTTTGGAGGATAACCTTTTAGCTTGTGATATTCTGAATTAGTAACTTTAGTAATATTATATCTTGAACTTGTATCAATTAAAGGTTGCCGATTATTAGGTTCAATATTAATAGTAGAGCTGTTTGTTTCAATATTAGTATTGTCATTTTGTATATTGCAGATTTTTTGCATATCCAGACCAGTATTGTGACAGTATTTTGTTATAAATTGAGTCAAAATCCTGATTAATTCTGTAGTAATATCTTCAGCTACTGCAATTTAAATACTAGTCTTTGCTATAAACATTATATTACCAAATTGGACCTTCTTATTAACATTTTTTTTAATTGTTTATGTATATACATTAGCTAATCGAATTTGATTAATATAGTATAATGGTGTGGGTGTAAAATTCTTGGTTTCTTGAAATATTGCAACATGTTTGTTTATTTCAAATAGAGTTGATTTAAACCATCGAGTATAAATAAGATTTAAATAAAAACTGCTATTGATGATTGAATAAAAACTTGATATTGATGACAGTATAGCATTTCCAAGTTTATTATTTGCATACAAGTACAAAGTAATAATGAATCTTTAAGGGTAGGGTGAATGTAGATCATTTTTTATATAAGGATATTGACTAAAAAAATTTTACCCAAAAATTGAATAT